GCTGGATGAGCACAGCAGGCCAAGCAGCATCAGAGGAGCAGGAAATCAGGAAATGATTTTCTGAAGAAGGGTCTAGGCCCGAAACGTCAGCTTTCCTGCTCCTCTGATGCTGCTTGGCCTGCTGTGTTCATCCAGTTCTACACCTTGTTATCTCAGATTCTCCAGCATCTGCAGTTTCTACTATCCCAGAACAAAACTATATGCTGTATTCCAGATGTGGTCTCACAGGGCGCTGTCCAGCAGCAGTAAAACTTTCCTACTTTTATATTCTATTCCTTTTGCAATAAGCGACAACATTCTATTTGCCTTCCTAATTACTTGCTGTACCTGTATACTAATATATTGTGATCTCCCTGTACCTCCAAGTTCTGCAAATCTCACTCTACTTAAATAGTATACTGCTTTACCACTCTTCCTGTGAAAGGCGACAAGTTCACATTCTCCCACATTACATTCCATCTGCCAAATGTTTGCCCACTCACTTAACTTACCATTAACCCTTCATAGACTCTTTAGCTCCTTCCTTCATTCCTACCTACGTTGATGTCATTGGCAAATCCACCTCTTATACATTTGGCTCTTTCTTTCAAGTCATTGATATTGATCGTAAAAGTTGAAGCCCTAACACTATCCCTGTGCCACACCACTAGTTACAGCTTGCCAACCAGAAATCTCATTTGTCCTTACTCTCTGCTTCCTATTAGTTAAGCCAATCTTTTCCCCATGCTAATATGTTACCCCTGCATCTGCTCTTGTGTAATAAAGTATTTATTCAATACCTTTGCCACTTCCTTGTTTAATTCTTCAGTTTCACTCTCTAGAGTACTAAGACTAGCTTTATTTGTTATTTTTTCTAAACAGAAGCAAGATAAATTGGCTGGTATATGAGTTACATTACTTTTGACTATAAGTTGTTACTGCAGTCAGGAATTTAGACATTGAAATGTAGACATCAAAAAGATGGTTTCACTTTTGGAGCAGCAAGATCATCAGCACAATTAGTCAGATCTGCAAACGTGAGGTGAAGTGGCCAGAAATGTTGGATGATTGGCTGAAATTGTAATGAATTATCGTCATTACTCCTCTATAAATTTGAGTTCACCAAACTTCACTTCTTCCAATGTTAACTCAATGCAGCATTGGAAACACTGAGCATGCAAATTACATGAGCATTCTGGTTGGATGCCAGGGGATTGTATCATCACACTTCTGGGCTATATTCTCATCGTGCGAGTCAATTTCCATAAATGTATCATTTTCAGGCATGAATAATATCTTTAAAACCCTGAAGGTATCTCTGACAGACCTGAATATGCACAAATAAAACAAAGAACTACAGATGCTGAAGTTCTGAAACAAAAACAGAAAATTGCTGGAGAAACTCAGCAGATCTGCCAGTGGAGAGAAAGCAGAGTCAATGTTTCGAGTCCAGTGACCCTTCATCAGAATTACCAACACATTCCCACTCCCAACTTTCCAAAGAAGTCTGTTCATAAAATTGAAGGTTAGGGAGGCAAGGTGTAGAATATGGCACATTTTAGCCCTTCACTGATATATAAAGTATGGATGAGCTTGGCTGTAGTAATTTTAAGAACTGTGTTTGTGCTTGGATGCCAAACAGAAACAGAAGAAGCTTATGTGCAATCTGGTTCTACCAATGCATTGTGATCATGGCTGTGATATATTGTTTGTCATGTTAACACTAGAACTGTGGTCTGAACCTACCTCCTGATGGCCATTAGCAGCAGCAATTGATAATGCAGTCCTTCCCACAGCACCTTCAGCATTGAGCCAGGCTCTGTTGTCCAGCAGCAATTGAATAATTTCTCTGTTTCCAACTTCCACTGCCAGATGCAAAGCTGTCATGTTGTCACTTGTTGTATAATTGACTGAAGCTCCTTTCGAAAGTAGCAATTCTACTATGTGGGCTTGATCACTCAGCTGCCCAGTGCAATGGAGTCCAGCGTCTTGCATCATACGTGTCTTGGCTGGCACCGTAGCTCAGGAGTTGCTGCAAGGTCAATATGTGCCCACTTGCAGCTGCACAATGCAATGGTGTCTGCCCAGAACTGGTACGTGCACTTGTCAAAGCTCCCCGATGCAGCAAGTACTCAGCAATCTGGCTGTGCCCATTCCATGCAGCTCAATGAAGAGCAGTCCAGCCATGTGTGTCTGTGGCATCGATTGGTGCTCCCCGGTGAACGAGAAACTTAACCACCACCAGACAGCCATTAAATGCTGCATGATGTAGAGCAGTCCACCCATATTCATCCCTGCGAGTAATAAGATGACAATGTCAGAACAGCTAAATGCTTAACTCTTCCCACGCAATGTGTTCAAGCTGCGCTGTCATGGATTCTACCCAGCCTTGTTCATTTTCTGAGAAAAGCTTCAGAAAATGCCCCCTTCTAAATTACCAAAATTAAACATATTCTATTCTGCAGTCATTCTCTAACATACTAGAATACAAACAGGGACAGGGAAAAATCATCTGATTATCGACCACTATCAATCCACTCCCCAGTTTATACTATCACCTGAGATTTTAAAAAAACTCTGGCAGACTTAGAAGAGAAAGTTCCTCTATGTGCCAAGGCTCTGAATGGGGATCAAAACTCAATGTATTTGAACTTTGCAACACTGAGCCTCTTCCACTGTGCAGTATTTCGTTCCATTGAATGCTCTTATATGATGGAACCTCTTGAGCTCAGAAGAAGAGGCAGCCAAATTGGCTGAAGTTTGGATTCAAGGAAATTCTCAAACTCCTCACACCTGCCATCAGCACGAAGGAGAAGTGAAAGAAGATTGATGAAGAATGTTCATTGCCCAGAAGAGTAGCTTAGGGTATCCAGGAGGATTTTGAAACCATCAAAGGATTTGAAGGAGAAACATTGGTCGCTTGGTGCCCAGAGAGCTGTGTGTAAGCTATCTACAATACTATCCTACTGACTCCTATGGTATGTACATTACGCCATTTCACAATGTCTCTCTGGGTCAATGCTTTTTCCCAGCAATAACTGGCTGCCTACCTGCCATCTATTGGAGCACCATGCTGTAACAGCATTTTCACAAAGCTGGTGTTGCCACTATAAACACCCTGGTGGAGATCAGTCCATTTGCCCTGTTTTATGCCTCCTGTCATATCATGTTCCACCTCACTGACTGCTTCACTGTTATCCACTAGTCTCCAAAACAATTCCGTTGTCATCCCAGGGATGTCCTCCTCCTGTCCAGAGTCAGTGAGCTTAACAAACCATTCAAAACTGGAAAATACAAAGAAAACAATCTTTTGAATGTTTTGTGGGGTAATGTCTGTATGTGTATGATTAAAAAAAAATGACACAGTATAATTGGAATAGAAAAGGGATAGGAAAAGGAGCTGCATACTGATTTGCCTTGATTTATTTTAGTCACATGTACCTGAGTACGGTGAAAAGTTTTGTTTTGCGAGCAGTACAGACAGATCATAGCAAACAAGGACATACAGATCATAGGGAGCTTAGACAGTGAGGCATACAAGGTTACAGCTGCACAGGAGGTGCCCTAGGCAAGATCAATATTAACAAGATCAACATTATTGCAAGTTAGAGAGGTCCATTCAGAATTTGAACTTGAGAGATGGAAATTGGTGTGGGATCTGGTATTTTCAATATTTGTCCTTCATAAAACCTTTTTAGAAATTTGGGACAGGTGCAGAATATATCATAGCTCCTACAATTTGTGCTTTCCTACCCTCAGCTCAAGCATGCCTGAGTGTTCTTGATATCCAGCATTGAGAAAGCTGTTGGAGGATTCACAAAACAAAAGGCAAAAGCTGAGAAATGTCACAACTTGTTAAAGGTCTCACAAATCTGCACAACCAACTCTTCAAAGCTGAGGCCAGTCATACCATGGCCAGGAGCCTGTTAACATTTCTTAAGATATAGCCAAACCTACAAAGAGGTAGCAAGAACTATCCTGTCTTACTACTTCACTGACACTTGCAAAAAGCAGGGGATACATTTACAGGAACATTTATCTGCATGCGCTCACTTTCCTGTTATTTCCTGTTTTTTTTAATGAGACAAGAACAGCAGGAGACGGGAACCAAAGAGCGGAAAATCTTAGCCAGCAGGTCATACAAAGGATGTTTTGAAGACAAGAAAGTTTAGAACTATTAGAGGAAAAGTGGAGGTTATACATCCAAGATTCTCACAGGTCTTGACCTGGTAGATGCAGAAAGATTATTTCCCCCTATGGGAGAGCTCTACAACCAGAGGGCAGAAGGGGTCACACATTTAAGACCTAGCTGAGGAGGAATTTCTTCTTCAATCTGTGGAATGATTTATTGCAGAGGGCTGTCGGGGCTAGATTATTAAAGTATAGTCAGGGCTGAGGTATCAGGTCTTTCATCAGTGAGGGAGTCAATGGTTATAGGGAAAAGACCCGGAAGTGGAGTTGAGGATTATCAGATCAGCCGTGACTTCATTGAATGCTGCAGCAGACTTGATGGGCCAATTGGCCTATTCTGCTCCTATGTCTTATGGTCTATAAGGGGGAGGCAGAGAGGCCCATCCCAATTTGCATCATTTTTGTTTCATTGATGAGATGCAAAAACCTTGACAAAATACCAGCCATTTACCTGCACAATCACAACGTGCTGCTGATGAAAAATTCCCTCTATATCTAACTTATCAGTCTGAAGAAGAGTCACTGGAAACGCTAACTCTGTTTTCTCCCCACAGCTTCTGCCAGATCTGCTGAGTTTCACCAGCAATTTCTGTTTTTGTTTCAGATCTCCACAATCAACAGTTATTTGTTTTAGAGATAGTAGGAACTGCAGATGCTGGAGAATCTGAGATAACAAGGTGTAGAGCTGAATGAACACAACAGGCCAAGCAGCATCAGAGGAAGGGTCTAGGCCCGAAACGTCAGCTTTCCTGCTCCTCTGATGCTGCTTGGCCTGCTGAGTTCATCCAGCTCTACACCTTGTTATCTCAGTTATTTGTCTTATTCTAACTTATTCTTGGTGTTTTGTTTCTAACATTGTCTTGTCTCGTTATAATATCCAGCCCTGAACTCTGCTCTGAAACACAATGGCCTGGATGATTTTTATGTGAATTACTGAAGGAAACAGTATTGAATCAGGCACCTCATTATTGACCATTAGCTCAACTATCATTTGAGTGGAGTGCATCTGCAAGTTGCTAAAACAGAGTCTTTTAACATATGACTTCCATTCTGATTAATGTAAAGGAAGAAATTTTAAAAATCATCTACTTTTTCAATTAATGAAGCAATTTTTCTCGAAGAATGTCATTTAAGTACAAAACACTGTGAAGGAATTATGTGCTTATAATGTAAGAACAATACCTGATGACAAGTACTTTAAAAATCATCAATTTATTCTGTTTCTATCAGGTTCAGTCATGAGGTGCGAAGACCAGCCCTCCTTGGTGTGTCTGCAGCACTATTCTGTCAGGGTGTACAACGATCACTAGTTGTTTGCAATGGGTCAATAGAGTCATAGAGTCATAGAGTCACACAGCATGGAAACAGACCCTTCGATCCAACCAGTCCATGCCGAATGTAATCCCAACTAAACTAATCTCACCTACTGCTCCTGGTCCATTTCCTCCAAACCTTTCCTATTTATGTACTTATCTAAGTGTCTTTTAAACATTATAACTGTACCCGCATCCACCACTTCCTCAGGAAGTTAATTCCATGTGAACCACCCTCTGTGTAAAAAAAGTTTTCCCTCATGCCTTTTTTAAATCTCTCTCCTCACCTTAAAAATATGTCCCCTAGTCTTGAAATCCCCCATCCTAGGGAAAAGGCACCTACCATTAACTCTATCTATACCTCTCATGAGTTTACACCTCTATTATGTCACCCTTCAACCTCCAATGCTCCAGTGAAAAAGTCCCAGCCTATCCAGCCTTTCTTTATAAATCAAACCTTCCATACCCGGCAACATCCTGGTAAGTCTCTTCTGAACCCTCTCCAGCTTAATAATATCCTTCCTATATTAATAGAAAGACAAACTTCGTCAAGAATTCGGTCTTGTGATTGGTTTATAGTCATTGAATCTTTTTTAAAGTTGATTCAGGAGATGTGGCCTTTGCAGGCTGGGTCAGCATTTGTTGCTGCTCCTTAACAGTTCCTGAGAAGGTACTGTTGGACTGTGAGAGTGTAAATGGGGACGGATTTTTGCCAGAATTGAAAAAGCAGCTCAATACTGTTCAAGGAACAAATGATAGAGTTTGGGAAAGTGGCTATTGTGTAGTTCCTTTGAGACATAATCCAAAGAAGTACTAACTAGCTGAGCGTCTCTGATAAATAATACCCTTCATTTACTAAGTGGGTCTGTGATAAGGATCACTGTGAGATTATTTTGCTAATCCTCTCAGCACCTATTTCACTCCCAAGTTGTGCGTTTGAAAAGGGACTAAGTAGGAGTATTTAATGGCCCAGTGTGGAGTCTGGTGGCAGCCAGCAGTGAGACCACATACAGGCCCCCTGCGCTGGTCTGCTGCAAACACCCCTTAGAGAGAGACTGTGATATATGTCTTTTTAACTTTGCTTCTTGTTTTTCTGACCTATGGTTATACAGTGTATAGCAATAACATAACTTCTCTTTCTTCATTTCTCTATTCTGTAACTAAGGATTGATCCTAGGTGCTCTGTACTTCAGTTGACGCTGTGTATTGGTGACATTGTTACACTGTAATTAAGCTGTAACTGAAGATTCTGTACCTGGGTACCTTTGTACCTAAGATGGCGCTGTAAGTGGCGACTTGTAAACTTTTCAGGGCAGTCATTTGAGTACATGTGACAATAAAGCTAATTCAATTCAATTCAATTCAATTCAATATAAGTGATACCAATAAGGAAAACATTCCTAATTTCTCCTGGTATTGCACATGGAGACCGAAGGATTCCCCGGATAACTGCATGGATATAATTCAGATCTCGTTTTAAAATGGCTGTGATAGTGGCCATCCTTTACAAACTGGAGGAACAGCCGCAGCAGTCACATGTGAAGGGATGTCAGGATGTTGTACATGGCCAAACAAGGAATCCAAGAGGTAAGAGGGCTGTTTGAAGGTGGCCCACCTTGTCCATGGAGTCTTCCGGCCCAGACCTTGAGTGATGGTGAGCAGCTGTGTAGACAGAGATAGTAGGAACTGCAGATGCTGGAGAATCCGAGACAACAAGGTGCAGAGCTGGATGAACACAGCAGGCCAAGCAGCATCAGAGGAGTAGGAAGGCTGACGTTTCGGGCCTAGACCCTTCAGTTTGGTTTTCAAACAGTGGAGATGTCTGAGGAGAGCCACAAGCCTCCAGGCCAGTTGATATTGTGATGCCTTTGGCATTCAAAGTTGCCGCAGCCTGCATCCACTGGGGTTGGCTCATTGCAGGCTGCAGCTGGAGGCAGAGCTAACCGCGGGGCACACTCCCATGAAGCAGATTCGAGATTTACTAATTGTCAGGGCTAAATATTTCATCAGATTCCACATTCTAGGCACCTCTTTTCATGTCTACATCTGACATAGGCCCTCTCTTGGACATGGAGCCACATATTTCCTGTCAACTGCTATCGGACAGGTTAGACGTGCTTGTTAAACCTAATGTCAAGGGAAACCAGGGAAGCCAGGAGATAACACAGTGTGGAGCTGAAGGAAGAAAAAAAAGGGGCTTGTAGTCATGGCCAAGTGGCTAAGGCAATGGATTCAAAATCCATTTGGGTTTCCCCATGCAGGTTCAAATCCTGCTGACCACATTTCTGCAGCTTGCAGGTTTTAAATGACTTTGTGTTGGGTGATTTTTCACTCAAACTCACATCTAAGGGGCTTGTAGGTAAGCCAGAAGGCTGAATATGGCAGTCATTGAGTGGTTCTTGAGGGAGCTGAACCTATACTGGACCCCGAGTTCCCTACAGCAGAAAACTCCATAAGATTGATTCAAGAAAGGAACACTGTGCAAAACTGCCCAGAGTTTAGCTCTTAAAACACCTTTTGTATTTTGCGATGAGGATCTCACACTAATATGAATTACGTGGGGTGGGGGTGGGGTGGGTGTGGGGTGGAGGGGTGTGGGGCGTGTGTGGGGAGGCTTGTTTGTTGGGCTGAATGGCCTATTTCTCAGCTATAATGGAGGCATTAAGCAGTCGAAGCATCCCAACAATAAAATGGCGTTGGACAGCAGCCAGAAACTGCAGCCGTTCCCACAGTGATTGATCCAATCATATCACAGAAGGTGCCTTTATTCTGAAATATGTTAGAACTTCAATAATTGACTTGCGCTCCTGCCTTTGATGAAATAGCATTTCCCACGGGTGCTTAACCTTGAACATCCTGTTTTGATTAAAATTTAATCAAACAAATAAAATAGACACCGCGGTGGCCTCCTACACTGTAATATGTTTTCTGGCATAGCTACAAATAGTCTCCTGCTGATTCCCCACCACAGGAAGGAAGGGAACTTTCCAAATTCAGGAACCAATGGCCAAGTTCACTAACCAGCAGAAAACAGCTGGTCACACTCTCCTTTGCTCAATGTTGAGACATTTGAGGACCATTTCTCTTGGTTTCTTTCTTGCAGCTACTTACTGAGCTGAATTGCCTGGATGCTTTATTTGCATTGAATTGGCATCGATGGGTCGGCGTTGACCTAAACTATAGAGAGAGCAGATTTAGTAATTTGTGGGAGTGACACTGTAAGTAGCTCCACAGGATGTTGACAGCACAACCTCATGGTTTACAGATGTAATGTCAGGATGGGGAAAGAGCTTAGGAGAATGATTCCATTAATCCTTTCTCACTCTCCATCTCATTGACCAGGATTGAAAACTTCATGATATGGTACCTCTGTGGGAAGTGTTGCTGTAGTAGTAAACTCACTAGATTAGCAATCTTGAGCCTCAGGCTAATGTTCCAGGGACACGGGTTTGAATCCCATCATGGGCAGATGATGATATTTGAATTCAATAAGCATCTAGAGATTTTTTAAAAAGTTAGTCTAATAACAAGTGGAGCTGGAGGAGCACAGCAGGCCAGGCAGCATCAGAGGAGCAGGAAAGCAGGAAAGGTCAGGACCTTTCTTTTTTTTTCTGAAGAAGGGTCCTGACCTGAAACATCAACCTTCCTGCTCCTCTGATGCTGCCTGGCCTGCTGTGTTCCTCCAGCTCCACACTGTGTTATCTCTGACTGCAGCATCTGCACTTCTTACTATCTATAATGACAAGTGTTACTTTTAAAATAACAATCGGATTTACTGAACAAAGAACTGCAGGTTCTGAAAACTAGATATTTGCTGGGAAAACTTAACGGTCTGGCAGCATCTGTGGTGAGAAAGCAGAGTTAACATTTTGGGTCCAGTGATCCTTCTGTTCTGAGGAAGTGTTACTGGACCTGAAACATTAACTCTGCTTTCTCTCCACAGATGCTGCCAGACCTGCAGAGTTGTTCCAGTAACGTCTGGTTGTATCTTGTTTATTAATGTCCTTTAGGGAAGGGAAATCTACCAGACTTACAGGGTCTAGCTGACATGTGACTCCAGCCACACATGTGACTCCGGCAATTAGTGATGGACAATAAATGCTGCTTTAGCCAGTGACGCCCATGAACAACCTTTACAAAACTGGCGCAGTTCTGCAGTCACCTCATGCTCATTTGATCAAAGTGGATCCACTGTGGCACCAAATAACTCAACAATTATTTTCGCAGGAGTCTATCTTTCAATTAAAGTGAAATTTGTTGAAAAATGTAATTGCAATTTAGTAAAATCTTGGGGGGGAGGTGGTGGGAAATCACATTCAGCTGCAGTACTGCTAAATAGCAGCAGATGGCAGTGCTGACCGTTTTACAGTCTCTACTCTTACTTCAGAGGAGGGTTATCAAACAAAATCTGGCAGTTCTTGGAACATGATGGGACACCTTTAGTTAGCATTTAGCAGAAACTGGCTTCCAAATTCTTGACCTTTGTGTATTCGAAGTTCCTCTTCCTCCTTTTTCTGGGATCCCAGTTTCAGCCATTTCTAAACGTACTCACCATTTGTTTTGGAAACCCCCTGTTCCTGCTTCTTATTAAAACATTCTTACTGCTTTTGACAAATCTGCATGCTTCTTGCGAATTTTTAGTTTAGATTCCTCGATCCCATTTTTCAAATCCTGTCTGCCCTGCTGTTTATTGCACCCAGTTCATCACCATTTCCACTAGATTCCTTCACCATATCCAGGTTACAGCCCAGGCAGGATCTCCAGGAGATGGAAAGAAAAGACAGATAGATAGAAAGAAAACAGATGAAGGAGCTAAAAAGAGAGATGGGATTAAAGAAAGACGGTAAAGTACGAGCCAAGAAAAGTAAAGAAAAAATGAAACAAGTATGAGGCAGGAGACAGACGAAAGTGGAGGAGTATCAGACCGACCAAAAGCAAATCCCTTTTTTGAGTTTTAAGCTTTAGAGAGAGGCAGAATAGGCTGGGGCTAATTTCCCTGGAGCACTAGAGGCTGAGGGGTGACCTTTCATTTATTTCCTAGCTCCCTTCCCCTCCCCATTTCTGAAGAAGGGTCCTGACACGCAACGTCAACTTTCCTGCCCCTCTGATGCTGCCTGGCCTGCTGTGCTCCTCCAAGAACCATTGTCTGATCAGTGCCTTGGTCTGACCTGACTCAGAGATACAGAAGTGAGGATATTCCTCTGCATGGATTGCTATGGTTCCCCTACAGATGACATCAGTTGCTCAATGGTTCCTTGTATATTGTGAAGGAACTAACTTATCAGCTCCAGGAGTCAGCTATATAATACAACCCTGAATTCTTCACAGCTAACACAAGAGAAACAATACCCTGGATCAGCTGCCTGACCTATTGGAATAACATTCATTCCATGAGCTGAAGACTGCACCAGAAGAAAGTTATACTGTTGACCTTGTTTCTCTCTTTGCTGAGTTTATCCAGCACTTTCTGTTTTAATTTCAGGTCTCCAGCCTTTGCACAGTACTTTGCCTTTTCATGAAAAGAGTGACCCCGAAGGGCTCAGGGACACACTTGATCCTCCACCCAGTGGAAACCTGCACTCCACAAATCACAACCTCTGCTGGTGTCTCTTGTCTGATCACAGACTCACCCTTGTGTCCCCTCTCAGCGATAACAGTCACTGTTGACTTGAGCCCGTCTCTGGTCCCAGCTTCAAGTAACGTACAGATGGTGTATTGAGGGACGGTGTTGTGGTGCCCCCTCAGGGCTTCTTGCTTTTCTAATTAACGCTAAAATATGTGTGTTTGATATATTTCTCGTATAACATTTACTGGGAATTTATAATCCATCTGACGTAGCATCTCAGCCAAAGAATCCACCCCATCATACTTTCTCAATCACCAGTGCCAGCATGATTTTACACTGGAGGCTGCTCAGCCTATTTTCATTTATTTAGCCAATGCCACACCACACCGCAAAAAAAACGCCATCTGCCCAACTCCACCCCACTGACCATGAATGAATCTTCAGGTTCTACCTGCACTACCAATTCCCAGTGTTGCCTGTTCTTTAGTCTAATCCCAGTATTGCTCCTAAACTGCTTACTACTTCTGGGGTCCTGTCAGCACCCTGTGTTTGTCTAATGTTCCCTATTTAATGCCTGTAACTCTCTCTATAGGGAACCTATACCATTGTGCTCAGCTTCCCACAAATTGCTCAGGTCAGATCACCGTGATTATGAGAGCACAGACACGTATGTTTTGACCTCCAGGCAGAGATAGTTATCTGAATCAACATGGGCAGGTGGGACCTGAACCTGGGACTGCTGGGCCAGAGGTAGAGACATAATCACTGTACCCCATGCAGAGATTTGTCGATATCTTTAATTAATCTGTTCAGTTGTATTATGATACATGTCTGGAGCAGGTGGAACTTGAACCTGGGCCTCCTGGCTTGGAGACTGAGGCACCACCACAGCACCATAAAATTGTTACTATTTATAAGCAAGTCTGATTGTAGATCAGCAACAATGTCTTCGACAGCTTCTGACCTGTCCTGACTTAGTCCTGGATTGTTGAGTGTACCACAGACGATACATATTAAATATTACAGAAGGACCAGAATCATACGGAGGGAAATAAGGCACTGTAGCATTACATTTCAACTTTCTTTGTTTTGCCACTGTCTACACCACATGTCAAACACTCACCTCTGCATCCAGCATGCAGCATCTTGCTCTTGCCTGCGATTAATTTTATCTGGCACTGTTCTATTTATGGATTCTATCAAACCCATTTTCTAGCTCTTTGGCTGCTTCCTCAGACTATAAAAGCAGATTAAAAGACTGTTTCATTATTTCGTCCCCACCTTAACACTGTTACTGACCAGCATTGAGTTTTAATTCTTTCTACTAATACACTGTTCACAAAGGCCACTTGAAAGTTCTCGTAAGCTAATTGTATTTCTCATCTAATTGGAATGTTTTGAGTGAGGATCGTTAACACAATTAACATGGAACAAACATTGTGGCACAGTGGTAGTGTCCCTCCTCTGACCCAGGAGGCCTGGATCAAGATCCAACTGCTCCGAAGGTGTGTAATAACATCTCCGAACAGGCTGATTGGACAATATCTAGAACAAACCATTTGGGTCTGGTCAAATCTAGACAATAACATATCTACCACCTAATGATAGCAGAAACATAACATGCTGAATGGCTTCCTTCTGTCTGTTCCTATTCTGTGATCCTCTGTGACAACATCCATAAATCCCACTCATGATACTAAGTGTCCCTGTTCACTGCTCCCTTTCTCTGTAAACAAACAGAACTGTTGATGAAAAAAGTTACGTTCAATTGTAACAGAGAATTAAACAAGAACAGTTACATCACATTGTCTATACAGATGAAAACAGAGATTGATACAGCATTGGCTATAGTACACTTTATAAACAGGTGGAACAAAGAGTTTTAGTGTCACCTACACCACATTGTAAATACAACTAGAGGGAACTGACCTAAGCTGAACTCTTTATTCATAATTACCTGATAAATGATACCGTGAACTATCTTATCAGTTACAAATGAATTCCTTCCAACAATGGTTAGTTATAAACAATGGGCTGAATAGTTCCTTTTGTATTGTAATAATTCCTGTGCTTGGATTATATCTATGTCGGCTCATTATGATTTTATTCACTTTACTTATTGATGCTGCCCACTGACTTGGCTGTGTTTTGTCTGCTGGATGCCGATGTGTGTGGAACCCCATCATTGTGTCGAAGATATTTTCAGTAGAATTCCAATCATGTTTGGAATTCAGAATTTGCAAACAATTCAGTTCGCCTGGTATGACATAGTGGCCACTCTCTCTCTCTCTCTCGGCCCCTTCTCTCCCTCTATCTCTGACTCTAATATTGAATCATGTTATAGGATAAAGTTGATTTGAGAATTGTGACAACACTGAACCTAATCTCAAGCCAGAGATAACAGATTAAATTGCCACTTATTTTCAGCACAAGACAAATACATGTAATAACCGAATACAGCTATCTAAAATTGCAGATCAGGTCAATATAAAATCACACCATCATCCTTCTTACTTTACAACTTATTTTTAAATCAGACATTATTTCTTTGGATCTTCCTAGTTCCCACAGATGCTCTTTGATAGCTTCTCACTTACACCCTCCAGTAACTACAGCTCATTTCTAAACCTGTGCTGCCCACACCCTCTCTTTTGCTGCCCATCAACACTGTCCTTCACTAACCATCATCCTGTGTTACATGAGACGGTAATTCAATTGGTCTGTACCTCAATTAAAGAAATTTAAATCAAACAAATGATAGACTTTTACAAAACAGTGATCAAACTACAGTTAGGGTGGTAAATGTCACACAAAACGTACATTAAATCAACAGAGAAGCTATTGTGGGAAGTATATTCATTGGGGTGATGTGATGGCTGAGAAACTATAGTTAACAGGACAGTTTTGTTGTATTATTGCCACTTAATGGAGAACAGGAGATTTAATTCAGATTTTTTTTAAGAGTTTTGATCGATAAAGATGACTTCCTCAGGGTGGGGAGTCAGGCACAAGACTATCATTTGAAGTAGGAGTGTGAGGAGAGAGACTACAAAACATATCTTTAGGCAGCCAGTTGTTTGAGTATGAAATGCTGAGCTGCTGGGATTGGTTCCAGCACTACCTCATTTGTTAAGTGATTTTTTTTTCTGTTAGGGATGTGGGCAACTGTGGTTCAGAAGAGTTGACCTCCTTCAGAAGAGGCAGATAGAACAGCCACCATCTTACTGAATGGCGGGGAAGTCTCAAAAGGGCCGAGTCTAACTCCTCACTCGTGTGATAGTACGCCAGCTTAATCCTTACATTTCTGGACTAATGCTATATTGAGATTTAGAGTCATAGATTTGCACAGCACGGAAACAGACCCTTTGGTTCAACTTGTCTGTGCTGACTGGATACTCTAAATAAATCTAGTCCTATTTGCCAGCATTTGACCCATATCCCTGTAAACCCTTCCTATTCATGTACCCATCCGGATGCCTTTTAAATGTTGTAATTGTACCAGCCTCCACCACTTCCTCTGGCAGCTCATTCCATACACACACCACCCACTGCCGAAAAAAGTTACCCGTTGGATCCCTTTTAAATCTTTCCCATCTCACCTTAAACCTATGCCCTCTAGTTTTGGACTCTCCCACCCGAGGGAAAAGACCTTGGCTATTCACCCTATCCATGTCCCCTCATGATTTTATAAACCTCTATAGCATCACCCTTCAGCCTCCAACGCTCCAGGGAAAATTGTCCCAGTCTATTCAGCCTCTCCCTATAGCTCAAACCCTCCAACCCTAGCAACGTCCTTGTAAATCTTTTCTGAACCCTTTCAAGTTTCATAACATCCTTCCTACAGCTGGGAGCCCAGAATTGCATGCAATATTCCAACAGTGGCCCAACCAACGTCCTGTACAGCTGCAATATGACCTCCCAATTCCTATACTCAATGCACTTTAAATTCACTTAATTGAATAATAGTGATAAAAAGCTGGTTTCTGTAGTTGTGAGCGTGAGACTGCTGGATTATTATTAAAAACCCACCTGGTGTGGCTGTAGATAAGGAAATCTGCCACCGTTCCTTCGTCTGGCTTTATTTGTTTATTTGAATGTGGTTAACACATTCCGCAATATTGCAGCAGGTGGATGAGTAATAATCATCCTTACAGGTAACACCCCCACCCTGCAAGTGAATTAGGAAATGCTTCATTGCCCATTTGTAGGTGTGTTGAGAAAATGCTGCTGGGGTCCTCTGTGAATCATTGCAATCCTTGTAAGAGGTCACTCTTGCCATGGAGTCAGGTAAGGAATTCCAGGATCCTGGCCCAGCAACAATGGGAGAATGGTCCAAGATGGTGGGTGAAAGTGCTTACAAACATTGCTGCTCTCGGTATCTTTTCATTGTTCTTTCATTAGGCTGTGGGCATTACCGCAAACTCAGCATCACAAATTGAACAGAGCAGCTTGCTCAGAAGTTAAGAGTCAACCACATTTCGAAACTGACATGGAGCCCAGACCTGGATGAGGAGGGCAGATTTCCCTCCCTGAAGGGCATTAGTCACCCAGATGAGTTTTGTTGATGGTTTAGTATTCTATGTTGCAGAGACAAGCTTTTGATTCCAAATTTATTAATTGAATTTGAATTTCATCCGCTGGCCTGTAGAATTTGAATATTTGTTCCCAGAGCATTAGTCTGTTCATTATGACTCCAGCGACATTCCCACTACCCTACCATCTTCCCTCATTCTTGTCGATAGGACAGTGTATCCATCAGATTGGACGTACTGTAGCCGACATGCAATAGCCAGGAAGGAAGAGCTGGTTTTAGGATCCAATGGAAAGACAACAATCAAGCTCTGTACTGGGTGGTGCTTTATTTCTTAGGGATTGTTACAGCTTTAACACTTGGAGCAAAGCAAGGTTCAAGGGTTGCTCTGGCATGTACCAGCATAAACACAATGGGCCAAATGGCCTCATAAAAGGTAGAGACACAGAACATGTCCCACACCCAGACTGCTGTCTTTCCTCCCATCATGTTCACACAGTCTGAGATAACTCCCAAGGGATGACACATCAGTTTGTACAGCATTTCTCCCTTTGAAACTTCCTTGTCCCCTCATCAGGTGTGACATTCAGGATTCTCTCTCCACCAGACACTGACTTTACATTTGCAGTCAACTTTTGACTTCTTCTTTAAGAAATGTTGATTTAAAAGTTGAATATATTTGTAAGTACTTTGGGGTTCCTTTGTCATGATGTTGTTGCCACAACAATCTGATAACTAACGTCAAGGGCCCTACCCAGAAAAACGATGCGCAAAGGAATTCTGAAAGGCCTTGTTAATTGTTGTACAAAAACATTGTTAACTGTCATTTTTACCTGATGGTAAGTCACAGAGACATAGAGTCCTACAGCATGGAGAGAGGCCCTTCGGCCCAAACTGGTCCGTGCTGACCAAAATGTCCATCCACGCCAAGCCCATTTCCCTGCACTTGGCCCATTTCCATCTAAACCTTTCCTATTCATGTATTTGTCCAAATGCCTTTTAAATGTTGTTAAAGTACCCACCTCAATCACTTCTGCTGGCAGCTCATTCCATGTGCGTACCACCCTCTGTGTAAAAAAGTTGCCCCTCAGGTTCCCATTTATTCTTTCCCCCTTACCTTAAACTGAAGCCCTCTCATCCTCAATTCCCCAACCCTTGGAAAAAGACTGAGTGTATTCACTTATCCATGCCTCTCATGATCTTATACACTCCTATAAGATACCCCCTCAGTCTACTACGCTCTAAAGAAAAAAGCCCTAGCTTGTCCAACCTCTCCCTATAACTCAGTCCCTTGAGTCCGGGCAACATCCTTGTAAATTTCTTCTGCACTCTTTCCAGTTTAATAACACCCTTCCTGGAGCAAGGTGAACACAGTACTCCAAATCCAGCCTCACCAATGTCACGTACAACTGCAACATAACTTCCCAACTTCTATACTCAATGCCCTGACTGATAAAAGCCAGTGTGTCAAAAGCCTTCTTCACTGCCACGTTTACCTGTGACTCCACTTTCAGAGAACCGTGCACCTGAACTCCAAGGCCCCTCTGTTCCACTACACACCTTAAGGCCCTACCATTCACCATGAAACTCCTATCTGGATTTGACTTTCCAAAATGCATCACCTCACACTTTTCTATATTAAACTCCATTTGCCATTTCTCGGCCCACTTCCCCAGCT